AACGCTAGCCGCCATGACGTTTTGCTCACCTGAAAACTGGTTGTGATTCTGATACGAGACTTGATTCGAGCTCACATGTTGAGTGAACAAGGTCAAATCACGCCGATTCAGGATCTGGCCAACTCCGGACGTTGGCTTGCGATGATTCCAGGCCAGATGGCTCCATCCTTCTTGGTTCTCGTTGTTGTTCTCAAAGCAGTCACATTCCATATAGAATGCTCTTTCCGGGTCGCTGGTCACCCTCCTCTCCCATCCTAGTCATAGTGTTCATGTGGATGCTGTCAACGCCCTCAGATGCTTCTCTCCGCCTGCCCGAGACGATTTTGATCCTGATGGACAAATTGTAGCGGAACTTGTCATCGATACTGAGAGGGCACGGGTCCGGTCTTGCAGCTTTTGTTTCAGCGATTCCACAACGTCCACTATACGTCTTCTACGATGTTATCGTCAAGTTACCAGATATGGCCACTCAGCTACTGAAGCTTGTCGCAGAGTATAGCCTCAAGATCGGAGGTATTGAGGTAGAAATCGCATGGACATTCATTGCCTCCCTCATATCTTTGGGTCCCAATTTCGTCCCCCCTCACTTTTGCCGACTAACTCGTCCTTTGGCGGAGTGCCCTTCCGAAACCGCAGAACAAGGACTCCACCAACAATGACGGACGCTCTGTCGATTCTTAATTGATGGCTTACCGCGTCCTCGTAGCTATCCATCACAACGCCAAGATAGAACTTAATCTCAGGCACAGCAAGCGTGATATATATTTTCCGTCATGTGACCGCGTTTTGTTTCTCCTTCCGCTCTGTACTTACTAACAAAAGGTGCATCTTTAATATCAATATATGAATCCAACTAAGCGGTGACTTTACTTCAAGGGTATGATCATGACTATAAATGTGGCTTGCCCCTTAAAGTCTACAATTGCCTTCTGTATATATAACGTGTGGTGGCCTGATTCCTGGAGCCGCAGGTTCAATTCCCAGATAGTGTTGAAATTTCAAGTTGGTGACACCCCTCTATAATCTTTAACCCAATGAAAGGGGCCAGCCCATTGTTTGGAAAGCGTGACACTTAAATGGTATAAGTAATGATATTGAAAGATATTGAAGCGGCGACGCCAACCGGGTCATCGATCATCGCCGCTGGTCACTGGTCACCGGTCACCGGTCACCGGTCATCAATCAGCTATCCATCAATCAGTCACTTCACATGACGTCAGTTCTTCCTTTCATCTAGGGACTTACTCTTGACTTACGCGCTTCTCTTTCTTGACACGAGATGCTATCCTCTTTGTCCCTAAATGCTCTTTGTTTCTCTGCAATATATCTAGGGAGGTAGTGACTTAGCGAAATCTTTTGCTTTCCCTCAACCCACGGATCTGCCCCATCATGCATCCCGGTTTTTGTTCTGTATGCTGCGACGTTTTCGACCAGATCGACTGCGTTCCCTGTCGCATTAGCTGTGGTAAGCAATCTAGCGCCTACTTGATCTATTTTTCTTTAAAATGCTTCTTTCGTTTTCAAGGACATGTTGCGTGTCAAAGGTGCTGCGACACACTCGTGGAGAGTAGGCAATGCTGTCCTTTTCGCTGCGACATGGCCATCCTTCGACCACGCGACATCAGGCCCATGGCCATGTCGCTTGTGACCGACAGTGACTCGTTCAATGAGGGGATCGTCCGCTCGTGAGTCGTCTTGAAGTTCTTGTCATTGTTGAAATTTGAACTTCACGTTACTTCACCAGCAAAGTACTGGCTATCTTGTCCGATATTCGCGCGTTTCAACTCCAATACAACCAGAATAGTCTCTCCGTTCACTCCCTCCGTGCAAATGTTTCGGTTCAAAAAGATTCTATTCAAAAATATGCGCGGATTCTTCACAAGGTTATCCAGAAAAGAAAAGATGTCTTTCAAAGCCTCGCTCGTGCTCGTGCAGAATACGAAGGAGAGGTTTCCACTCAATGCCAGTTACGCGAGGAACTTACGCAGCTTCGGGGGATGGTATGGATAGCCTTTTCCTCCACTATTCATGCTCAAATATTTGGGGTAGCTGCGCGCAACAGCCACCACACCGCCCAAAACACCTCCCAGTACGCCACCTTGTGTTTGGATGTAAACAACTCCTGATATGCTTTTCAGCTGCTTCCAGCTCCACCGGCCACAAGCGTCATCGAATCGACGGTGAATGCAGTGAGGAACAAGATGCCTTTCGATGCAGAAAGGTGAGCCATTCACTTGCGATTTGCCAGCGACCCGGACTAGTTGACCTTATCATTTTTAGAAAGGGCCACCGGCGTCTGTGTATACGTAGTCGCGTTTTTTGAGGGCCATGACAGGCATTCGACACGATCGCCAAATCACGTAGACGGCGAGAGCATTTAATTATCTACATTCGTTCTTACTGTATATCAACTACGCATATCTTGTTAAACCTTAGCAGATGTTACCAGGAGCAAAACAATGCTCTTAGTAAGTATTTGATGTGGAGTTGCTCTTACATTGTCGCAAGAAAAATGAAAGACAATCCCGAAGAGCTTTTTGCGAAGATCAATAGCTCGAGCTCGACGGTAAGGTCATCTGCCGCCATTCACATCCCGGGAATCAGACCTATCGTGTTTCAGGGTTCAAAGTCCCGCACTCAAGCTCGATTATTTATATCGGAGAATAGGCGCGCGCGAACCGAACTCTCATTCTCGTTTGCTTATCGTAGTCGCTCTAATTACACGCATCGTCCCAATCTACATGTGCCACCATCCTGCAAAGTAAGCGGCACACATCCATCCACGTCACTCCGACTCGACGAAGGCAATGTGGACATCTTGGCGTTGTAATGCATAGCTAGCTTGAATTTCGCCACGTTCACCTTTCGGCGCTTTCTGACCGGTCGGGTAATACGTGACAGGGGCTAGACAGTTAACAACACCGCTTTGAATCTGACGATGTCCGCGATTTCCAGTCTGACAAAGCAAACAATCTTGGGTCGGTGTGTAGAAATCTTGGCGAGGAGAGCGGGAACTCCAGCGATTTGCTTGACCTTGCTCTGCTACAAACGATGGATCAATCAGTAATTGGAAACTTGCGTAGAAGTACTGATACCTCAACTGTTGGTTGATCGTCCAGATTTGTCCGTGAAGGTGTGAGTACTCAGTAGAAGAAAAGAAGGGCTACCATCTCATCGAATACTGTGCTGGGAGGATGAAGTCGTCTAGAAGTCGTGTAGTACGAGGTTGGATCGGAATGGCCAAGCTTTGATTGACTCACCTTCTAACCCACTGCACAAGTGAACGTACGTAGACGGCTCGCCGCTCGGCATACCCCCATTTCTGCTTCTTGAAGAGAGAGACGGGTTCTAATCAACTTACTTGAGCGCACCTTTTGACTTCTCAGCTGCTGCATCAGCGTCTTCAGCTCTCCAGCCTGCTTCTTCGTTACTATCGGCTCATCATGTCGCATGTGCAGAGTCGTCATGCTACAAGGTCGGTCAATCGGCTGGGCACCGACTTGATCTACGCGGTGCATGTCAGCAAAAACGGCGTACAGGGGGGGGATTGGGGGATAACGAACAATGTTGAAACATTCCTGTCATTCACTTTTGGCGGGCCCCCATTGCGATAGAGGGAAAGCCACAAGTGGCTACCACCTTTATCATAAAACCAAGGCACTTGCCTGTAGAGCTGTGTGTATAAGTCCACAAGTTTTATGAAAGGCCTTTCATAGGTGTGTCCTGTGTCTTTCTTTCTCATAAAGGCTATAAATGTAGGCAAAGACCACAGGATCCTTTCATAACATTTCTTAGGACCTTTCATAAAAGCTTTCATAATTATTATCATGCGCTTTCTATGAATATTTCATTGAAGCTGTTCAGTTCTTTCATTGTACTTTTCATAATTAAACCTGTGTGCTTTCAATAGGTATTTCATTCACTGGGTTAGGTGTATTCATTGCCTTTTTCATAATTAATGGTGTGCACTTTCATTGAATATTTCATTAGGAATTTTCGGCGCTTTCATTGCTTTTTTCATAATCAATCCAGTGTAATTTCAATAAATATTTCATTGACTATGTCAGGTGTATTCATTGCCTCTATCATATTTAATGGTGTGCGCTTTCATTGAATATTTCATTAGGAATATTGGATGCTTTCAATAAATATTTCATTCCCTAGGTCAGGTGTATTCATTGCCTCTTTCATTAGGAATTTCAACTATTTTCATTCCCCTTTCATTAATTAATGGTGTGTGCTTTCATTGAATATTTCATTAGGAATATTGGATGCTTTCATTGTACTTTTCATAATTAATGTTGTGTGATTTCAATAAATATTTCATTCCCTAGGTCAGGTGTATTCATTGCCTCTTTCATTAGGAATTTCAACCATTTTCATTCCCCTTTCATTAATTAATGGTGTGTGCTTTCATTGAATATTTCATTAGGAATATTGGATGCTTTCATTGTACTTTTCATAATTAATGTTGTGTGATTTCAATAAATATTTCATTCCCTAGGTCAGGTGTATTCATTGCCTCTTTCATTAGGAATTTCAACCATTTTCATTCCCCTTTCATTAATTAATGCTGTGCGCTTTCATTGTGCATTTCAATAAATATTTCATTGGCTAGGTTATATGTATCCATTGCTTCTTGTGCACTTTCATTGAATATTCCACAGCTTTCATTGAGTATCTCTCAATATTTCATTCCAATTTCATATCTACCCCCAGGGCTATCATTATGATTTTTCATTATATTCCATGATAGCAATAAAATAGCTATTATGGTCCGCATTGGGAGGGTGGTCACATGACCAATTTCCAAAAATGGGAAAAAAACAAAAGTTGTAGCTCTTCACCATAGCTTTCTGAATCAGTTGGAATTATGTTCTAAAGTGCTTCCATTGTGGAGATATGAGGTAAAATGTTTTCAAAAGTGCTGCGTTTTTTTTGTTTTTTGCATTTTTCTACATGAAAAGAACACTAAACAACATGATTTCAACAGATTTAGAAAGCTAAGAGAAGGGGCTACAACTATTGTATCATGGGAAATTTCACCCAAAAAGGAAGGTACATGCCCTAAAAGGGTAATTGACACTGACAGACTACAAAAGATTGCTCATATACTACAAAAGTCAGTTATAGCCTACAAAGTTTACTTATAGACAACAAAAAAGACTACAAAAGTCGGACATAGACCACAAAGGTCAGACAAAGACTACAAAAATTAGTAGTGTCTGCTTTTCTCATTACAAAAGTAATAGTGTCCGCTTTTTGAGATTACAATGGTTTGTAGTGTCTGTTTTTTCAGACTACAAAAGTTAGTAGTGTCTGTTTTTTTCAGACTACAATGGTTTGTAGTGTCCGCTTTTTTCATTACAAAAGTTAATAGTGTCCGCTTTTTGAGACTACAAAAGTTAGTAGTGTCTGTTTTTTCAGACTACAATGGTTTGTAGTGTCCGCTTTTTTCATTACAAAAGGTAATAGTGTCCGCTTTTTTCATTACAAATGTTAATAGTGTCCGCTTTTCTGACATATAGTTTGTAGTGTGGTTGACTATGTATGTATAGGTCATTGGGGATATGGTTGAAGGATTGGGATGAGTTGACATTCTGCCACTCATGAATAGTTGCTTTTGATGTCAGGTCCATGGCTGTTTTTCATACTTGCAATCTGTCCTGTCCTTTCACATGAGAAGCCATTATCCTATCTTTGATGTTGGTCAACCTTCCACTCAGATCAGTATCTGCTGTCCTATGTCTGACCACAGTCAATCTTCACATGATTTTTTGGAGGGATAAATTCTCTGTCCTACCAGAGCAACTTGTCATGTCTTCCAATACCAGGACCAGTTGTCATTGTCCAAGCCTTCACCACTGGGGTCAGCCTTGAGTAGATTGATTTAAAGGTATCAAAAGTGAAGTATATAGGTGGTTTGGTCCTCTCTGCTTCTCAATGTCTATCCAGGATTCATGTGAAACACACCCTTTGATTAGATAGGATAGTGACTTCTCATGTGAAAAGACAGGACAGATTGCAAGTATGAAAAACAGCCATGGACCTGACATCAAAAGCAACTATTCATGAGTGGCAGAATGTCAACTCATCCCAATCCTTCAACCATATCCCCAATGACCTATACATACATAGTCAACCACACTACAAACTATATGTCAGAAAAGCGGACACTATTAACATTTGTAATGAAAAAAGCGGACACTACAAACTATTGTAGTCTCAAAAAGCAGACACAATTAACATTTGTAATGAAAAAAGCGGACACTACAAACCATTGTAGTCTGAAAAAACAGACACTACTAACTTTTGTAGTCTCAAAAAGTGGACACTATTAACTTTTGTAATGAAAAAAGCGGACACTACAAACCATTGTAGTCTGAAAAAAACAGACACTACTAACTTTTGTAGTCTGAAAAAACAGACACTACAAACCATTGTAATCTCAAAAAGTGGACACTACTAATTTTTGTAGTCTTTGTCTGACCTTTGTGGTCTATGTCTGACTTTTGTAGTCTTTTTTGTAGTCTATAAGTAAACTTTGTAGGCTATAACTGACTTTTGTAGTATATGAGCAATCTTTTGTAGTCTGTCGGTGTCAATTACCCTTTTAGGGCATGTACCTTCCTTTTTGGGAGAAATTTCCCACGATACAATAGTTGTAGCCCCTTCTCTTAGCTTTCTAAATCTGTTGAAATCATGTTGTTTAGTGTTCTTTTCATGTAGAAAAATGCAAAAAACAAAAAAAAACACGGCACTTTTGAAAACATTTTACCTCATATCTCCACAATGGAAGCACTTTAGAACATAATTCCAACTGATTCAGAAAGCTATGGTGAAGAGCTACAACTTTTGTTTTTTTTCCCATTTTTGGAAATTGGTCATGTGACCACCCCCCAATGCGGACCATAATAGCTATTTTATTGCTATCATGGAATATAATGAAAAATCATAATGATAGCCCTGGGGGTAGATATGAAATTGGAATGAAATATTGAGAGATACTCAATGAAAAATCCCAATGAAAGCTGTGGAATATTCAATGAAAATGCACAAGAAGCAATGGATACATATAACCTAGCCAATAAAATATTTATTGAAATGCACAATGAAAGCGCACAGCATTAATTAATGAAAGGGGAATGAAAATCGTTGAAATTCCTAATGAAAGAGGCAATGAATACACCTGACCTAGGGAATGAAATATTTATTGAAATCACACAACATTAATTATGAAAAGTACAATGAAAGCATCCAATATTCCTAATGAAATATTCAATGAAAGCGCACACCATTAATTAATGAAAGGGGAATGAAAATAGTTGAAATTCCTAATGAAAGAGGCAATGAATACACCTGACCTAGGGAATGAAATATTTATTGAAAGCATCCAATATTCCTAATGAAATATTCAATGAAAGCGCACACCATTAAATATGATAGAGGCAATGAATACACCTGACATAGTCAATGAAATATTTATTGAAATTACACTGGATTGATTATGAAAAAAGCAATGAAAGCACCGAAAATTCCTAATGAAATATTCAATGAAAGTGCACACCATTAATTATGAAAAAGGCAATGAATACACCTAACCCAGTGAATGAAATACCTATTGAAAGTGCACAGGTTTAATTATGAAAAGTACAATGAAAGAACTGAACAGCTTCAATGAAATATTCATAGAAAGCACATGATAATAATTATGAAAGCTTTTATGAAAGATCCTAAGAAATGTTATGAAAGGATCCTGTGGTCTTTGCCTACATTTATAGCCTTTATGAGAAAGAAAGACACAGGACACACCTATGAAAGGCCTTTCATAAAACTTGTGGACTTATACACACAGCTCTACAGGCAAGTGCCTTGGTTTTATGATAAAGGTGGTAGCCACTTGTGTCTTTGCATAGATTTCTCATGCACCTCCTGGAACACAAGCGTGCACCCTTGATATCAAGAAGTTCCATCGGACCTGCCCCGTTCTCCCATCCCACAAACCTTGGCTAGTCGTCCAAGGCACTTCTGACGACTTCTTCATCAATCACGATCATCCGTTTGGAGCTGCTTGTGCCAGCAGTAATGCTGGTATGATTGCAAACACTGTTGTTGACATTTGGAGAGCTGAGGGGGTCTTCCCAGTGCCAAAATACGAAGACGACCTGAAGGCTTTCCGATTCCCTTCGCCATCCGGCCTCTTTGTTGATGGTGATTTTCACTATGACTATGACCGCGACGATATGCTTCGCCGCATCTCCTCTTTGGGAGTACCTTGGCATGATGAGAAGGGTGACGAATGCTTCTCTTTTGTCACGACTTTTATCGGATTTCTCTGGGATATCCCTCGGAAGCTCGTTAGCTTGCCGGAAGGAAAGAGAAACAAATTCCATCAACGCGTCCTTCAATTCCTGACTGACTTTGACAGCCGACCTTGCCATTTACGGGATGTTGGGGAGATCCACGGATCTCTTTGTCACATCGCTTTTGTTTATCTTGATGGTCGCTCCCACTTGCCTTCGCTTTCTAACTTTGCGTCTACCTTCCATGGTGACGAATTCCTCACAAAGTATCCCCCACACTCCCTGATTACTGACTTGAATTGGTGGTTGGTCAAACTTACTTTGCGGGGGGTATCTCGGTCCCTTCACCCTCTTGGTCCTTTATCAGATCTTGGGTTGTATGTTGATGCCTCTACGTTGTGGGGTATTGGCATTATCATTGGTGATGAATGGGCTGCCTTCCAGCTTTCGTCTTCTTGGAAGATTGAAGGCCGCGACATCTGCTGGCTCGAGACTGTTGCCATCGAGCTTCTTGCCCTTTTTTTGGAGTCCAGAGGTCTTCGGGACCTTCACCTGCTTGTCCATTTTGACAACCAAGGCACCATCGGTGCTCTTGATAAGGGCCGCAGTGGCAACATCTATCTGAATCTTGCAGTTTGTCGCACACATCTCATTCTAATGGCTACCTCCCTTGTTTTTAAAACTGTTTATATTGAATCTGAAGCTAATCCAGCTGATCCTATCTCGCGCGGGGAACCAGGACCTGTTGGGAAGCAAATCTTCCCGTTTTTCATGCTCCCTGATGAGCTGTCCTCTTGTTTTGTTCATGCCTAGGTTAGCCTTCCTTCCTGACACCATGTACTTCCTCCTTATTCTCACATCATTTATTTAGTCTCCAACACCCTTTTAAACCGGTGACGCGTGTTGTCGAGACGACTGTGGGGGTTCACATCCTGTTCCTCCGCACCCCACATGTCGTCATATTCTCTTCACTCCTTTCCAGCCTCGTATCACACCTTCCACACCTGCTTCGACATCACCTTCCACAACTACACTGGAATCGCTATCTACAACTATGACATCGCCTCCCATAACTACTCTGCAATCACCATCTACAACAACTGATTATTTTACTCTCCCTCACGACGTCTCACCTCTATCGTCCCGACTCATCAAACCCAGGAAACCTCACACCAGGCGACAAATCTCTCAAAATTCTTTACGCCCTCATGTCGCTGCTGCGGATCGCTTGTTTGCCTGGGATACACCCCACGCCGTTTGTCACCGACAGCACCTTATCGCTTCTCTTCATCCACACTTGGTCAATAGTGCTATGATGTCCATCCGTGGGGCATATGCACCTAACACCAAATCCACGTATGCTGCCAGCGCTCTGCGCTTCACCCAATTCTGCGATACATGGGGTATTGATGAGGAAGCGTGAATGCCTGCTTCTTATCCCCTACTCTGTGCCTTCATCGGCGAATATAAGGGTAGACAAGCTGGGAATACTATACGCTCCTGGTTGTCTGGTATCCGTGCATGGCATGTCGTCAATCATGCCCCTTGGTTTGGAGACGACGAATGGGTTCACCTGGCCCAGGTGTCTGCAAACAAAGAAGGGACAAAACATCAACGTCCTCTCCGTGCCCCTGTCTCCATTGAGCACCTCTTGGCTCTTCGCCGTGCTCTTAACCTTTCTACTCCTTTCCATGCAGCAGTCTGGGCCCTCGCTCTGTGCACATTCTTTGGCTGCCGACGGCTAGGCAAACTAGCTGTTACCACTGCTGCTGCATTTGATGAGAAATATCACATCCTTCGCTCCGTTATGTGCGCTACCTTTCCTTTTTATATATATTCTCTTATATTCCTTTAGGATCACTTTCCGCACGCTGCGAGATGGTTCCTCCTCTGCAAGCTTCCATATTCCTTGGATGAAAACTACGAAGGAACTCGGCGCCTCCATAATCCTTACTGCACGGAACGACATCCTTTGCCCTGTCGCTGCACTGAAGAATCATCTTGAAGTTAACTCATCCACTGATCACTCTGCCCCCCTTTTCACTTATACGACTGCTTCTGATCAGTCGAAGATCCTTCTCAAACATGAATTTCTCAATTTCTGTAACCAGATCTGGTCGTCTGCCATGCTCGCCCATATCTTGGGCCATAGTTTTCGCATTGGCGGCGCTGTCGAACTTCTCCTTGCTGGCATATCACCTGAAATTGTAGCCGCAACAGGCAGTTGGACTTCTCTCGCCTTCTTACTTTACTGGCGTCGTATGGAAGAGATTCTTCCTATGAGTACATCAAAAGCATACAACAAGTCCCACCTTGACTCGTTGGCCGCAATCTTCGAACAGTTTCGTATTAACAATAAAATCCCTTCGGCGCTCATTGTCGCCTCTAACGGGAACCTCGTTCTGTAATCTACCTGTATTTATATCGCTTCACAAAAAATTATCTTAAAACTCCTCTCATGTACTTGCATTTTAATTCACGAAATTTCTCTCCCAGAGTGCCGCGTGATTGGGTAGTTCCTCTGTGCTGAACCAACTTGCTTGTTGTGAGCTTCCACTCTGGTTGGTATAGCTAGTTGTTTTGCACACAATCAAGCTTTCAGACACTCAGGTCTTGCCCATCTTTTGGATCTTACCATTATTATTTAAGATCCAATTTGAGCCAGCTGGGCAAGTCCTAGGCACACACAGGTTATCCGTGTCTACGGATTTCTTGCATTTAAATATCTGTTGTATTTAAATACTTCCCTCCTTCCTACATCTCACAAAACGCTAGAGTTATCTCATCCACTTTTCAGTTTAAAATTTGCAGATGTTTGTCCCAGCTCATGTGATCCGTTCTTCAGTGAGTCTCCTTTCACACATGTTTCAGTCTCCTTTGCTGTCAGTTCATCAGGGTGGACTGTGATCGACGGTTGTGACTTCATAATGATACCAATTCATTCGCAACAGGGATGTGGAGGGCGAAGGGATAGGTATGGATTCGGAGTTGTAGAGGGGTCAAATTTGACGACAAAAGGTGCGATCATCTGCCTTTTGGCCAAGACGTCTCCCATGAGGCTCAATGAGTGTATCTCTTAGATACTCAACTCACCTGAGCCTGCTGCAAAATTCTTGTCAGCAACGAAATCCACGAAAAGGCTGCAGTCTCAGCTGGCAAGGCTCCATCTTGACCCACAATGGCTGCTTGTCTGGCATGAAGCTGTTCAACAATTTGGTCTCTCCCACATCGTGCAGCCTTGTGCATCCATGTTCCTCCATGCCACCCCATCGCCTACCAACTACGGCATATACCCCTATCACCCTTGCCATTGGCATTCTCTTCGCATCCTCTTCGCCCCTAACCCCACCCTCAAACGTTCAATGCCCATCCCCGCCAAATCTCTCCAACAAAGTTGACAGCTCATGCAGCTGCCCACACCTGTTATGCTGAACACGTGCAGCTACAAAGCTCTCAGTCGACCACAGCACGGTTAATGGAAGACACATGTATCTCAATGGAGTTCACTCCACTGCCAACGCCAACCTGCCCAGCCAGTTCGACGCCCAAGCCATGGATGCTTGCAGCGTCAACGTCGTTTACAATGGCATGACGACCTACAAGATGTAAGTCCTCGTAAACAAATCAAGATAGAAAGGAACTGACCTGTGCCGGACGTCGAGCACGTCAAACTCTTGCTCCAACATGTCCGACCATTCCACCATACCCTGCACCCTTCCTAGCTCAATGACGATGTATTGTCGTCCGCAGAACGAATCCCTAAGCTCGTCGTCAAGATTTCCAACAGTTCCACCCCTCCTGGCCCCAAGCCAACATATCGTCTTCCGCAAATCGATCCCATGCCACCCTCCAGCCCTTCCACCATGTCATGGGTCTTCGAGACGACGTATTGTCATCTGCTACACACGCTGTCAACGTTTGGATGATGTTGGATGATGTTGTAGTGGTGAAAGCTTGAGAAAGATGAATGAAAAGGTATGTTGAGTCTTTCCAGAGGCTGTAAACACAATTACTTTCCTTGGCTTAGATAGCTGATACCTATGTCAGCTGCTCCAACACCATCTGTATTGCCGTCTTTGTTGCTCTTGTCAGACATGTTGTCCTCGTCATCGCCGC